TTTATTCCAATTTAGTAAGAAGCCTCCTTCAACATTAATTATTTTAAAAAGGCAATATAAAACCTAGGCAGCCTAATATTTTAAAGAAAAAGTCATATCCTGATTGGCAGTATAAGCTATTTGAACATTCTTGGGCACTATTCGGAATAATGAAAATTAGATAGTAATATCTAGCTGCAGATAATAGTAAAACGTCATTTTTAATAGACCTAGTAATCCAGGAGGAAGTTTTATTTACCAAAAATAGTATCACTTCTTGTTTTAAATTCTTTTTCTCCTTAATTATAGCACAAAAAACCAAAATAAAACCTTAACCCATTGAAGAAGAAAACCACACCAATGACACTTGGGTACGTTAGCTTTTCAATCGAACAGCAACAAGCTACATGGAGTAGATCAATTAAAATCTACCAAATGGCTTTATTGTAAAAGTATTAACAAGATATTTACATATGAAAAAAAGTGGTATGTAAAACTGAGTACATCTAACCGTTAATGTAAAGTATTTCAAAAAAAAAAAAAAATTTTTTTTATTCACAAATTGATTTGCCGATTTACATTTTTGATGTGGCTGTGTCATTTAACTTCCCATCCTTGTAAAGTGAGTAAAGTGTTACGTGCCATGGTATTTCTAAGAAAACTCGCTCGATCTCGCCCTTCTTTTCACTTTTCACTCTTTCCTCGGTTCTTATCATATGTACGATCATCGGATACTCTTGAAATATATTCAACAGGATCATTTGATGATTTAAGGCGGGAAGGTTGTTATTATTTAGATAAGACTCACTTCATTTCTAAAATAGAGGCTCTCCGTGCTCCTGCCATCCTTTCCCTACGTCCTCGTAGTTTCGGAAAAACACTATTCCTCTCTACTTTGTCCTCTTATTATGATATAAAAAACAGAGAACGATCCGAACAACTTTTTGGGGATTTATATATCGGCAAAAACCCTACAAAATTAGCATCCTCATTCCTCGTTCTGAAATTCAATTTTATTGGACTTCGTACCAATTCAACATTCGAAATCTTCGAGGAAAACTTTAACACAGGATTGAATAGATTTATGTCTAGATTTATGAACCGATATAGACAAGAATTGGGTGAATATTTCCGGACTGTTTGTATAAATAAAGATCCTTTGGACAATTTCATGATGTTATTGGAAGTGGTACAATTAAGTGATCGCAAGGTATGTTATCTTTATTCAGTTATCGTCTCATTGAAAATTTCTAAACCAATATTATTTTACATCTTTAGCTCTATGTTTGCATCGACGAATATGATGCTTGTATGAACGAAGCTCTTAAAAACGAAACACTCTTACAATCTCTTAACGCTTATAATAATTCCTCAGTTCAAAGTAAAGTCGAAAAAATTGAGAGTTCGTTTAAACAATTTTATGGGTTGTTGAAGTATGCTTGTGATGAAGGCATAGCTCGTATTTTCCAAACTGGTGTTACTCCTCTCGTTTTGACCGAATTCAACATTTCGAAAGATTTGGCGTTAATTGAAGAATTTTGGGACATGTATGGTTTCAAGAAATCGGAAATTGAGTTTCTCTTGGATAAGGCTTTTGGAAATCGTTTATCAGCTAATATTAAAGAGGAAATAATGTCATGGTTAAAGGAGGAAAATGATGGATATTTTTTTCATCGTGATCAACCTGAAGGGATTTTCAACACTGCACGTGTTTTGCACTGTATTACTGGGTTGATGGAAGGAATGAAAAAATTCGATGGTAATTGGGATCCTTTAGTTGCCCTTGATACACTTCTTGACATCCCCTCCCCTTACCGAGGCACTCAATCGACGCCCTCTCGAATCTAGAAATGGCATAGAACAACGATTTCGACTCACCAATATTCGTGAGCTAGCAACTAATCGTACCCCGTTGCCCGTTGTTGTCATTCATGTTCTATACTGGAGCCATCACATATCAACCAAAGACATCCATCACCCACATCATTACAGCATAGTTTTCGAATTCCGAATCGATTTGCTGAAAGAGAATTTATCGCAGAGGCACTTAAGATTTATGACTGAAAGAAAGAGGATTTAATGCCTGCACGGAAATGTTTGCAGATTTGGAGGTAGAGCATAACATTGAACCTCTTTGTCGATTTATAGAGAGAACTTTACTTAAGCCATTGAAGGATAACGGTGTTAAACATTCAAACGAAGAGGAATTGAAACAAGTCTTTATGAACACTTTAATTCTCACATTGAACCAGAATTTCAGGTGTATTCACAGAGCTCTAATCTCGGTGGAAAAGCAGTTGATTTAGTGAAAACAAGTATCGGAATAAGGATAGCGATCGAATTTGATAATATTAAGATAGAAAACGTTAAGTTGGACAAAACTCGAGATAATTGGCAGGAAGCAACTGAAGTTTCACGATCGTTATTGGAAAAATCGGAGGAGGAAGTTTTAACTAAAATTAATGATCCATTCCGGAAAAATCAAAAGACAGTTGAGGAGGCTTTGGATTGGAAGATTAAAACGAAAAGCAGAAAATACCTCGAACCATTACGAAATCGACAAGATGCGGATTTGAAATGTATATTTGTTATTTTGAGAGTTGGTTTGCACCGTCTAATTAGCAGGAAAGTTTGTGATGTTAATGAATAACATGTAGAGTTTAAAACAGGATTGCACCTTATATTAATTACTGTAAATAATGTTTCTCTCATTCTCATCAGGGCTTTTGAATTTTTACGTGATTCTTAATAAAATAATAAAGACTATTTAATCATGAGGGTGTATATAATCATCCAAAAATTATCGATTTCTTATACTTTCTCGTGTAGCTAAGAAAACAAAGTTTCCTAATCTCGTATTACAGTATAGTCAGTTAATATAATGATTTGTGCGTAATTGCACAAAGAATATGATATAGTTTTCACAAAGTGCTTTATACACGTATAATAAAACACTGTTACATGAGTAAAACAATAACATATCTAAAAACAATGATCTTATTTACGAGGGAGTGGTAATATAAATTTATTTCCTAAAGTTAAGCTAATAATAGTACGATTACGACTCATCGCGGTTGATAAAATAAAATTTCTCAAATCAATTCTCGATTACGGTCCATCATGGGCTACATCATACATAATCTCGTTTGATTTTGCACGTGTATTTCGGGATTTTATTTTGTTGTATGGACATCGATATACGGTCAACTCTTGATAAAAGAAACGAAGCATTATTGAAAGTAGTTACGATCATCAAAAATTTTCCGGGTCCCGGTTTACTCGATAAAAAAAATCCGATACACGAAAAAAAATCCGAAATTTTTTTAAACGTAAAAATCCTACATAATAAACTTTTATTTTATTAAGTATATATCCTTTTATATAATGTAATATAGACAACTAAGTCTATATGCAGCAAAAGTTTCAACAATTTTTAACATTTTATTATTACCATTTATAGTTTACATTTCGTGGGCGATTTTTTGATTTTGGTTCTAATTTTAATATTTATATTGGTTTTGAAACCATATTTTAACAATCTATAATTAATAAACCTTGTTTATTATGTTTTAATTACTTTTATATTAAATTTTATAAATTTATATTAGGTATTTAAAAAACTATATAATAAATAATAGTGTTGTTAATAAAAAGTTAAATTTAAAAATTAATTTGTAATTATAATTTCTTGGAAAATCCTTATTTTATTATGTAAATTGATTTTAATAGATTAAGTAAACTTATTTATTATTGAATTCTAATTTATAATAACCATTTTTTAAAATTTTAAAAAAGTTATTTATTATAATATGTAAATTTAATATATATAAATTGTTAAATTAAACAATAGAATTTTATAAAATTTTTATCATATGAATAATTATTTTTTTTTGAAAATGAATAAAAAATTTTCAAGATATAAATTTATTACCCTATAATTTAAAATTCAAAATTATATTAAGTAATAATAAATAAATATAATATAAGATAAAACTTAAATGGAAAACAATAGTTGAATCCAAGGCTATATAGCTATTACTTATATTTTAGGTTTTATATTATATTATTATATATGTGATTGAAATTGATTTTAAATTTTAAATCAAATTATTTTGATAGTTAATAATTAAAATTATAATTTTTTTAAAATATCAATAATGAAAATCTTGATTATTAAATTGTAATTTTTTTTATTGCTAAAGTAAAACTTTACTCTAGTTTATTAATATAAGTGTAAAAATTTTTATATGTAAATTACATACATAAAGTTTCGACTATATTATTTTATATTAACTAGAATCTACCCACAGGTACTATATACCATCCAGGTGTAGCCTGCCACCTTGCTTGTTAACCAAGCCTACCTTAGTTCTATTTGTTCAATTTTCTTTTCACCTTTTTATTTATTACTTAACTATTCTGTTATGTATCTAACATTATTTTTCTTTTCTTTTGTATTTTTTCTTCTATGTACTTTTTTCCGCATTTTACTTACTTCTTTGATTCTTCTTATTTTTTCTTTGCCTTCCCTTTTTTCTCTCTTCTCTATACTCTTTGTCTTTTTCCATTCCCCTATCATCAGGTTTCTTTTTTTTCAAATTCTTTTTGCCATTTGCTCTATTGTTCTGTTTATTTCTTTTATCATTTCTTCTATCTTCTGTTTATTTATTTCTTTCAGGATTCTTATCCAACTTTTTGGTACCATTCCTTGTACTATTCAGGCTCAGCTAATCTTCATATTCTCTTTCTCTATCTCTTGTTGAATTTTTTCTAGTTTCTTGTTTTTCTTTTCAGTTGTTAGATTCTCTTTGATGTAATGTTTCATTATTTCTATGATTTTTTGTTTTAGACTTATTATTTGTTGTTTCGCTGGTCTGCACTCTTATACATGTATTTGATCTTCTTTTTTTTCCCCACACCTTATGCATTTTCCATACTTCTTATATTCTTTATGGTTTCTTGCATTTACCTTTTCTAGCATCGGTAGTTCACTATTGAATTTTTTCTCTACCCATCTGATACTGCTTCCTTCTTCTTCACTGCTCTGTATTGTTTCCTTATATCTTTTTCATGTTGCTTCCCAATAGATTTGCTGTCTGGTTCGCAAGTCTTGTATTTGCTTGTTTCTTTTCAGTTTCAGTTATTCTGTAATGTTTTTGATTTTATTGCATATTTTCCATATCTTTTTCCAGTCTTTGTTTTGTGTTCCTTCTCTCTATATAATTCCTCTGTCTTTTCTTCTGTAATCCTTGACTCTTTCTGTTGTTTCTTGGTTTCCTTATCCAGTTCTCTAAAGATATAGTCTTGCTTTTCTTCACTTATCCATTCTGTTGTCTATTCGATCTTTTTTTTCCCTCTTATTGCTACTCTTAGCTTAGCCAGTACTGCTCCTTCCCTATTCTATCTTTGTAACTCTTTTTTTGCCTTTCCACTTTCATTTATATATTGTTCTATTACTTTTAAGTCTGTTATTATTTTTACCTTCCCTTCTATATTCAATTGTTCTATGCCTGCTATTATTGTTTCCAGCTTTGCCTGTGATGCATTTTTTATTATATTCTTTTAAGTACCTCTTTCCATTTCTTTTTCGCTTTCAAAATATTTCTATACTCCTGTACTCTTCTTTTTTTCCTTGTTCCATGCTGCATCTGTATATATTTTCTTATCCTTCCCTCTCCTATTCTCTTCCATTTCTTTGTGTTTTTTCCAGTTTCTCTTGTTCGTAATTCTGCTCTAGATTCTTGTATTTTTATCTTAATGTGTTAGATTTCTTCTCTTTCTTCTATTTTGACTTTCTTGACTGCTGGATACCACGTTTCTGTTATTTTCTTGTCAAATAGGCAAACTCCCTTTTTGTTGTGTTCATCTAGTGCACACCCTTTGCATTCTCTTAATTTCTGATATACTCCTTGCTTTTTGTAGTGCATAATTCTTGCCTTCTCTTCGTTGATTTTTCTTTTTTTTTTTTTTCACTATTACTCTTTCGCAGTTTTCAAATGCAATCCATCTAATTCTTTTCATATTTGTTTCTTTATTCTCTTTAGGCATTGCTATGTGCTTCTACTGATTTACCTGCTTTACTTTTTTTTTCAGTTTTTTTTGAATCTCTTTTCAATTTTTTTCCATTAAATTGTACCATCTGGGCTTTTTTCTTTTCCTGCCGTATCCTGGATTGATTTTCTTTCATTCTATCAGTTCTAAATTGCCATCTTTTATCAATTGTTCTATATACAATACCTTCCATTTCCTTATATTCTTCCTCAGCTCTTTATAGGTGTGTCTAGAGTTCCAATTGGTTTTGGTACTAATTTTTATATAAAAATACTGAACCGAAAATTTCAATACTGTACTGATCAATATTGATATTTACTGAAATTTATATTTATAGTATATTAAATAAAATTGCAATTTTTATTTTATTATATTATTGAAA